ACATCACTGTACAAAACGGATTTAAAAAATCTATATCCCTGTGGTACGTATATTCTAGTAGGGAAAGAGAGAAGAAATAAAATCAATAATTTAGTTATATAGCACATTAAAGGGTAATAGCTGCTATAGAAAAATAAAGAACAAGATAAGGGGTTTTAGAAGTACTGGTCTGAAAATAAATGATGGTAGTTTTAAAGAGGAGGGTCAGGAGAGGCCTCCCTGAGAAGGTAAAACATGTAAGCAGAGACTTGAAGGTGGTAAAGGAGTGAGCTGTAGCTATAGAGACATCTGGAGGAAGAGCATTTTGGCTGCTCAAGCAGCCAGTACTAAGACCTTATGCCAGAAGCATGCCTGGGATATTCAGGAAAGCATGAGGAAGCTGGAGCAAAGAGAGCAAGGGGGAGAGTAATAGGAAATAAGGACAGAGTGGTAACCAGGCCCAATTTTATGGGTCTTACAGGTCATTGTAAAGACTTTGGCTTTTGCTCTGAGTGAAGAGCATGTTTTAAAAGAATCACTCTGGCTGCTCTCTTGAGCAGGGATTGTTGGGTGACAGATAAAAGTAGGGAGACCAATTATGTGCCTATGCAATAATTCAGATGAGAGATGATAGTAGTTTAGACTAGAGAGGGAAGTAGAGATAGAGCGAAGTGGTTAGATTTTGATATAAGTCAAAGGTAGAACTAACTGCATTTATGGCATATTGAATATGGACTGTAAAAGAAAGAGTCAGGGATATATTGAAGACTTTTGGCTGGAGCAACTGGAAAGACGGAATTACCATTAATGAGATTTTTTAAAAGACTGTGAATGAAGTGAGTTTTGGGGGAAATGATTGCGAATTCAAATTTGGACATGTTAAGTTTGAGATGTCTGTTAGATATCCAAGTGGAAATATTAAAATAGGAAGTTGGCTGTATGAATCTGGAGTTCATGGGAGAGGTTCAGGCTGATAGGTCAAGTAAGACAAAGACTAAGAACTGGCCTCAATTTAGCAATGTGGAGATCTTTGGTGAGTTTGACAGCAGCATTTTTGGTGCAATGTTAGGGACAAAAGCCTGGCTGGAGTGAATTTTAAGAGAATAGGAAGAGAGGAATTGGCAACAGAGTGTCTAAACAATTTTCTCAAAAAGTTTTGCTGCAAAGGAGGAATAGAGAAATGGCGCAATAACTGGAGGGAAAGGTATCAAGAGAGGATATTTTACAAGGCGGGAAAGAACTCCATGTTTGAATACTGATGGAAATAATCCAGAGACAGAAAAGAGCTGATATAGGAATAAGAAGGGAAATTGCTAGAGCATGTCCTATAATAGATCAAAGGGGATGGATCTATGTGGTATAAGAGAAGGTACTGGCTGTAGTTAGAAGTATAGATAGTTCATCTGTGCTAATAGATAGGAAGGCAGAGTATGTAGGTGCAGATGCTATTAGGAGTGTAAGAGTGTTGGTAGGAGTTTATGGAAGTTCTTAGCTGATTGTGCATTTTTTTTTTTTTTTTTTGAGAAAGGGTGTCATTTTTTGTCACCCAGGCTGGAGTGCAGTGGCTAAATCATGGCTCACTGCAGCCTTGACTTCCTGGGCTCAGAGGATCCTCCCACCTAAGCCTCTTGAGTAGCCGAGACCACAGGTGTGTGCCACCACGCCCAGTTCATTTTTTATATTTTTAGCAGAGAGGGGGCATCGCCATATTGCCCAGGCTAGTCTCCAACTCCTGGGCTCAAGTAGTCCACCTGCTTCAGCCTCCCAAAGTGCTGGGATTACAGGCATGAGCCACCGTGCCCGGCCTGATTGCTGCAATTTTGAAAGTAAAGTAAGAAGCAGTGTCATCAGCTGAAAGTGAGGATGAGGGAGGTAGTGTTAGAATTTTGAAGAGAGAGTAGAAAGTGCAAAATAATGACCTAGGATAGTGGGAGACTAAATCGGCAAAAGAAATGTAAGTATAACTGCCAGATGTCATTAAGAGTCCACTTGAGGTTCATGGTCTTGAATTTAAAGCAAAGCCAGTGAGGATGCTTGTGTGCTGTCTGTAGCCACATTCAGGTGCACAGATGCAGACATGGACCAGGCGGAGAGCTGGAGTTAACAAATACGAGGAAGTAAGAGAGGGATAAGGAAGTTGAGGGTGTATGCAAGGGAGTAATTACGATTTAAGCTGAGCAAGCAAGAAAGATAAACAGTAGGGAAGTGGGACAGTGACATGGTGATAGGATCAAGACCAGTGTGGGCCAGTGGGACTGAAGCATGGTTAGATCAGAGTACCTTCTAGAAGAAATGAGCAGTGAAAGGTAGGAGGGGCTGGTGGGAGAGAGGCTGGAGTTGCAGTAATTGGCAAAAGCAGGTTTAGAGAACTGCTACTCAATGTGTAGGCCATGGACTGGTGAACTGCATGCTACTGATCTGCAAGGAGATAAGTTCAGAAATCGAAATACACGTTTAGAAACACTGCTGCGACATCCAGGCATGTGATCAGTAGACTTGTATTTGGAACGCCTTTGTGTTTTTAATCTCATTTGTCTATTCTTTTGTGACTATATTTTACAAAAAAGTATTGGTCTGCAACAGATTAGATACAGACAAACCAAGTTCAGTCCTCCCCCACAGTAGAAGCACATGCTCTCGCAAGCATGCATGGGAGTGTGTCTCCAGGTGGAGGACAAGGTCACTGGAGGAGAGGAGTTAAAAGGACCATATTTCTGAACAATGAAATCACCATCATCTCTAGTCTTTCAAGGTAGAAGCCTGCCTGACTGCACAGCTCCAGGAAGCACTATTCTCATTGTATGTTGCATGAACAATACAACTGCAGGTGCTGTATGAATGGTGCTGTTAGAATGTTCAAGGAGATAGTTAGTGTTATCCCCATTTTATAGATGAGAAAACAAGCTCAGAAAGGTTAAATAATTGCCCAGACTCATACAGCTACTAAGGGGAGGAGCCAAGATTTGAACCTAGGTCTGTCTGTTGTGCTAAAGCTAAACTCTGTCCGTAATACCACTCTTTCTCTCTCTGTCACATGCTTATGGCACAGCCATAAGACTCATGAGAACTGGGGAAAAATGCCTTTGGGGGGGAATGTGTTATGGCCCATGTGACCAAGCCGGGCTTTTCAATTTATTTTAGAGTCATGACTTGTTATAGCTGCTGTGAGAATCCAAAGCCAGTCACTGCCTAGACCCCTATCTCTCCAGTTTGTCTTTGTTGAACCAAGAGGCTGAAGCACCTCAGGAATACAACATCCACTATCACTGCAGGACTTCCTGCAGTCTGTTCTTGTGCTTTAGTAATTGCGTATGTAGTAAAAGCAAATTCTAAAGAGTCGTTTGTGGAATGGTAAGATTATGAGTAATTTTAATACTTTAATCTTTTTTTAAAATTTGTGTGATGGATGGATACATTACTTTTCTGATCTGAGAAAGTCTAGTATAGATCTACACTTTAAACCATCTTGCTCATGGATCAAGTTTTAGACTCTAAGACTTAGGACTCTGGTGAGGGCTGGGCAGGCCCCATCTCTCACTGAGCCTGAGTCCCGGATACACTGGGAGCCTCAGCGTTTCCAGAAAAGTTGGTGTTGGTTGTTTCCTATTCTCCCCAGGTGCATGGAGTTTCTGAGAAATCCATAAACAATGTTTATGGATTGATCTTTTAGGGATTTCCTAATTTCCTTCGTTTCTTGGCTCTCCAGTGGGCCTCAACAAGTACAGCAACACTAAAGTTAATTTGTAAAGCTGATCTGGGTGTTACAGGACCTGTGAACACTGAGGTTATTCACTGCTTCTGGAAAGCCCTCCCATGCTCCAAGTATATACTCACCCAATGCATAGGATACTGCATAGGAATTGGGGTTTATGTGTCCATATGGCCCGTCAGACTGCCCCTGTGAAGGCATGGTCTATGGCACAGCACAGGGCCTGATGCACAGTAAGGAGTAGCTCTGTAGGAATGGGTTGGACGAGTGAATGAACAGCTGCTGCCCAGCCTGTGTAGGTATTTTTGTGGTGATGTGTTTAGTCTTTTCTACCTTGGGAAATTAACTGGCATTAATGTATGCTAATATACTGTATATGAAAAGAACTTGGGCTGACTAGTATAAGACTTTTTATTATATTCAGACACATGACTTTCACCTAGAGAAGATGTAGAAGAAATGAATCCATCAAAACAAGCAAATATAACTAGCAGGGTAGGATGTGGTCACTCCAGTTAGCCCTAAAGAATCAAAATAAAAACAGGAACAGAATTTAACTTTTAAAAATAGTACTGGAAGTCATAGTTTTGGTGTGGCGGTAAGAAGAATCATTAAAATACTTGAATATGGTAAATGCTAATCATCACAGTTATTTATTGAGAGTAACTAAAAACCTCTGGTTGGCCTCACGAGCATTACTGAAGTTTTCAAATGCATGTTATTAATTATTGTTATTAATGTGAAGTTTTAAGCCTGATCCTCTTTGGGAGACTAAGTGTCAGTGTGGGTGAATTTTTCAATGTGCCTAAAAACCCAGAACTACTAAATGAAATTTGGCTCCTCTTTTCTTCCATCTCGCCAAATTGCTCATTTCATCAGTAAGAAAAGCAACTGACATGCCAGGCAGTATAGAGAGAAGCTGTCTCACATCATTTATTTTTATAAATTTGTATTCCAGTCAAATGTGGAATACTTTGGTTTCAATATGTACCTCATTGATGTGAAGGGTCCAGAATCATTATAATGACTATGGTGAAGATAAGATATTTTTTCTCTAGTTTGTCTACAAAAACCTATAAAAACTAGCAAAAAGGTTAACTATTGTATTTAAGTAGAGAATTCTTCTTCTAGATTTGAATACTAAATAAAACACAGAAGACAGTTACATTCTATTTTTTATTATACCTTTTGAAATAATTTGTATATACCTTTTAAATAATTTCAAGTGCCACAAAAAATAATGTTAATAGCTCAAAATCAAAAGTTAAAAAAAAACCCTGTGTATAATTTTTAAAATCTTTTTCTCCTCAAGCGTTTTACGATGGGATAATGAGACAGATGTCTCTCAACTGGAAGGACATTTTGACATTGTTATGTGTGCTGACTGGTAAGTACATAAAAAAATCATAAAACTCCTGTTAGAAAAAATAGCTTTGCTGGAGTAATTGGGCTGTGCTGCTTTGCTGACGGCTAAGCAAAGTCAACAAATGAAGCACAAAGCCACCTTAACCTCAACAAATTAATATTCATCTCCATGTGACAGTTACAAGGTAGTCTTCTATCACACAGTAACTTCTACCACATTATTTCCCAAAGATTGATTTTGAGAAGCATTTCCATTTTCTGGAATTGCCTCTGTTTCATGCTTGACGTATCAGTAAATGGACGACTTAGGCAAATTGCAAATAATTATGGCTCGGAGAGGAATAGTCTGGAGAAAAAGGAGTTTATCAACACAAACAGCTCAATTAGCTTACTTCTTAGGAGAGATCTGACTATTGATATAAGGGAATATGTGTGTGTGTACACACACACACTCTCTAGCAAATAAACATATCTGTGGAATATCTCTGGGGAAATGGCTTTTCCTAAAATATATATTTGCTATCTAATGTTTTCAGTATTCAATTATACTATTTAATTATACATAAAACAAAAATTATGGAATTACATTTTATTCTTATGCAAATAATAACATTACAATCTCTGTCAGGTGCCTGCCTTTTAAAAATAATTTACATGAGATATGTTGCCCTCTGTTTTCGCCCAATCTACTTATTTGTTAATGAAAGTCTGATCCTAAGTTACAGGATAAATATGCGTCAGGCCTTAATAATTATTTCAACTAATCTTATGTATTTCTTCATGCGATTTGAATAGTAATTATTTCAGCTTATGGGAAACATTGACAATTCACAAGTATTTTCCCTGTTAAGAGTAAGATCTTGTCTGCAGTTTAATCATGATATTTATTAGGACACTTCGGATTTGAAAACACATTAACTTCAGGTTCTGAAGAAGTTCAGTTATATTGATAAGGCTAATCATAAGATGCAGAGCTCAGAGAAGACTTTCCCTACAGGAGAGTTGAATGAAATTTTCAGAAAGTGGGTTTTGTTATTTTTATTATTTTAATAAGATTTTCAATGGATAACTTTTCTACCAAAGTCATTGGAATTGGGTTTGCTCTTTTTCTTCGGGAAAAAAAACAAACAAACAAACTTCTCAATGAAAAATAAATATTCTGTTCTATTCTTAGCTTAGAGTTTCTAGTTTTTCATAGCCGTTTTAGTCTTTTTGCACCCAGTTTCAGAAAATCTTGTTCCAAAAATGGGAGAAACCTAGATTTCTGACTAATCATTGATAATGTGCCTCAATGCTGCAGCCCTCATCTAATCAAAAATAAGGAGCTAAAACCTCACCGTATGATTCGAGCAAGTAATTTAGTAAATGCCTTTCCTCACCAAATATGAGAAAGAATCCTCCAGGTTTCATTGCACAGATGAAGATAATGCTGGCAGGATTAGATCAGATTAAGCATGAAAGTCAGATCAGAGAGCAGCGGCAAGAGGGAAGGGGCAGCATCTTCCTGAAGCTTTAGACGAGGGTCACACGCGGACGGGCTCTGATTATATGGGGAAGGCAGGTCTGGCCAAGAGATTTAGAGTTAAATTTGTCCCTCACACAAATATCAAAACAGCCTGGCTTTGTCATACCTCGTGTTATGGACACTCACACCATGTCATCCTATTTGTACCAGAGGGAAAAGCAGAGGAAGTAAGATTTAAGCTCTTTTCTGATTAATGTTCTCAGGTTAAAAATAGCCACACAACATGTTTGAAAAACCGTCTTTTTCCCCTAGCCGACAACAGGGTCACGTACACTGATATACATAATGCGTTATTCTGTTTAAGACTTCCATTACACACACATAACATAAGGCAACATCACATGTATACACACACACACACACACATAGATACACACATCTGGTATATGTGTGAGAATTTATGGTTTCAAATGAACTAAATACACCAAGCTTCATTTTACAAATGGCTTTTCCATGCATGAATTTTTTCTTCCTGGTGTTGTAAGTGCCAGAATGTCAGCCTGTTTATAATTTCCCATTTGTAAATGTGAAACATTAAGCTACTCTCACTGCAATGCTCATAGTATTTCCAGAAGAAATGCTTTGGTAATAGTCTCCTTCATATTCACAGGGATGGGTAAGCTGCTTAGGAACTTAAAAAGTACAGTAATATTTCTGATATGCACATTGTGCATGTAGCAGTGAAGCACAGGATTCCACGAGTTCTTTATGTCCTGTTGGTATGGTGTTTCTCTGTAAGAGTTATTGCATGGATGCTGCTTCTAGGGGCAGGCAGGCAGGCAGGCAGACCATGCTGCATTTTCTTAAGAATGTCACAGGGGAGGAAAAGAAAGCTCTCTTTAGACAGTACCTCCAGGATGAAACCTGAAATCCTCATGCCAGAAAGAGGTGCCACACATAAATAGATCACATTAAGACTCACACCATCCTTTAGTCATTGTCAGCAATGAGATCTGGATTAGGCCACAGGAATATGAAGCAAGAGTTGGAGTTCAAATATTAGGTACATGGATTAAAATCTTATTGAAGCATTTCCAGCAAGGGTGGCATTGTCTGATTCCCTGAATAGCTAACCAGTGGTACTGCTTGATCCCATTTACATGAAAACAAGCTCTATTCACAAACCTATTCCAAACCCACATTGTGGTTCAAGTAAAATGCACATGATTACAACAAGCGGTGATATGTTTATGTTCTTAAATCATTCATATATTCGTATATTTACATTCAAACATTCAAAAACCTGTAGGCAGTGGGGGAAATAACTTATTTCCCAGAAGAGACAGTTTGTTAGTTCACAACTAAATTTAGTAGCTCAACTAGATTATAAAATAAAGAGGCAAACTGTGAAAGCTAGTCATTATTTCACCATTCAGCATTTTTGACAATGAAAAATAGTTTCATGGTTCAACAGTTCCTAAATAACTTGTAAAATGTCAACGTTGAAATACACAGAAGGAAAAATTGAGGTGCAGCCACACCTGCAAAAGGATGCTGTTGACAAACATCAAAATATTAGAATTTTTAACCACAGGTGTAGAAAAAAAACCTGCCTATTAAGTTCCTCAGTTGACTTGTTTAATGTTGAGTTTAATATAAGGATTCCTTTCTGCTGGAATGCAGTCCAGCCTGGTCCTTGCTGAGTTAGAATAGTGAGTGATTGTTAATTTTAAGCCTGCCTTTCCAGACTCCTGTTCAATCACAATATAATCTAAGGGTCTGGAAGTAAGATGTTTTTTATCCAATGAACGCTTTCATTCAGTGTTTGACGGCTCTCCAGTTTATTGTAGCTCTGCAAAAATAGAAATGACTCTGTGCATTTGAATTCTCAAAAGGCTTAGAAAGCATATCTGAAATGCCACCCATAGCCTGACCGGCCCATTGAGCTGGGTCTGCAGGACAATCAGCACATCTGTGTGCCTGCAGCCCGAGACTTTGGAAAGAAATGGGGAAAGCACATTGGCCTGTAGCGACCCACCTCGTGTGCTCTCTTAGCATTTTTGCACTGGCTGTGTACTCTAAATTGTTTCTTTTTGGGGGGTCCTTTTTACTTTAAATGATGAAAAATGTTTGATTTTTAAGCTGATTCTGTGAAATTTTTTTCCCTCAAAATGGAAATACTGTAGGCTCTAGAATTTGTTTTCTTTCAGATGCTCTGATCATAGATAGCCCCAAATCACAACTCACAGACGTTTACACCTGAAAATATCTTCAGTCCAAATATAGTCAGCCCTTTCACCTGATACCTGAGAAGATTCAGGCCCAGAGAAAATACATGAGTCGCCCAGGATTGCCCAACTAAAGGGACAGAGCCAAGTAAAATTAGAATATGGCGTCATTCTGAGCTGTAATAAAAATCAGTTGGTAAATACTGAAAGAGGTCATCCCTTTGCTGAAGTTAAATCTAAAACAGTGACTTTCACTCAGCACATTTCACCTTGAAAATTACAAAGGGGTCTTCCTTTCTATGGCTATTGACAGGGAAAGATGTCTTCTTGTTCTCTGCACTAATTAACTTCCCTATGAGAGGACTTACAGATGCTCTGCAGTCTGCAAAAAACTGATTCTAAGGGAGGTGATGAAAATGGTCTGGCACCTTTCCTTTGTTGGAAAATCTGTGACTCAGATCAATGGAAGAAAGCAAGTGTTGATCCACAAGTGAATTATACAGAGGGGTGTGTGTGTGTGTGTGTGTGTGCGTGCGCCCTTTAATGGTCAAACTAGACTGCCAATGTATTTTGATCAGTAACTGAAGGGAGAGTTAAAATGGTATCTCCGTCCCCATCACTGACCCACTCAGCCTTTTTTAATAGATCCACTTAAGCTACTGCTGTTCTCTCAGCCCATTAGGACTTATTTAAGGGGTGAATTTTCAGGAGATTATATATCATTCCCACTAAAACACATTGAAATTGCTCAGATGACATACTCTACAAAGTGTTATGAATTCTGCATCAGAGCTAAGTAGAAAGTGAGCTTGCTTGGAATAAAGATCTATTAGAGAACTACAAGAATTACTTTTGGGAAATTTGATTTGGAGACATGGAGTAGACAGCATTCCCTTTCAAATAACTGTGTCTGGAATGTGTGCTGTGTGTTAAGCTGTGATGTTAACATCTTGGTCATCCTGACTAACTTTAAGGAGAAATACCGCTTTATAATGTCTCAAGCTCAGCTGTGAGAGGGTGCTGTTTATTATTTTTCTAACAATCTTACAGGTATAAACCGAGTGTGGTCCTTTGCTTAAACGCTGCATGTCCCAATCAGCCAGGTTTCCCATAGGCCTGGGTAACTGACAGAGAAATTTTCCTACAATCATAATCTTTTAAAAACCCAGAATGTTTAATTAGTAAAACTCAAGATATTGTTACCTCACTAAGGAATAAAATACAGAGTCCTGAAGAGCGAACATTTTTAAAGACTTACTTATAATTTTATTCTGTTCTCATTAATTCTTAATGGTTATTAATCACTGTTTAATATGACTTAATGGCAAA